ATGAGTGGATTTGGGGTTATGCATGTACTGACAAACTTGATTAACGGCAAAGGAAATGTCGGGGCGGGTGAGGGTCAGGTACTGAAGTCCACCAACCATGCTTCGATAGACATCAGGATCCGAGAGAGGATCACCATCATGAGCAGACAGACGCAAGGAGGAGAGAAATGGTGTAGGATTGGGCTTGCACTGATCCATCTTAAATTTCCGTAATAAATCAGAGGCATAACGGCTTTGAGCGAGAGATAGGTGGCGGCCTCGTCGAGTGACTTCCATTCCAAGAAAAAAATGGAGGTCACCTAGCTTGCGGCTAGCAAAACTGGTACATATTGTATCAATGAACCTGTGAATAGCATCATTGTTTGAACCTGTGACAATGAGATCATCAACGTATACCAAAACATAGAGTGAGTATGTGGAGGAATGGTAAATAAACAAGGATGCATCCGATTTGCTATGGGAAAAGCCGTGAGTACGCAAGAATGATGCTAAACGCTGGAACCAAGCGCGAGGTGCTTGTTTGAGGCCATAAAGAGCCTTGTGAAGGCGACAAACATACTGGGAGCAGTCGGAATCAACAAAGCCAGGAGGTTGTTTCATATAAACTTCCTCATGAAGAATACCATTCAAGAAAGCATTTCGGACGTCAAGTTGCTGCAAGGACCAATTGTGTGAGACTGCTAAGGCAAGAATGGTACGAATAGTACCTGGTTTAACAACAGGACGAATAGCGCGAGGTGCTTGTTCTGATACCATATAGAGAAATAGATTGTGACAGAAAGAAGCAGTTTTGTTTGAATGAATTCCTTAATTATTTGTTTATCATATTGATACAAGATATATACAAGTCTGTAGTTGACTTTGTACAACATAAAAGGTAACTAATAACTCTTGATTATTTACATAAAACAATATAGAGAGAATGGTGGGATCACGGTTTGACAGCAGATGTGGTGGAGAGATTTGTGGTGGATTCAATACTCTTGTCAGGTCGAAGATGATAACGATGTAAAAAGTAGTATAGTCGAAAGTTATTCAAGAGTTCATTGGAAGAGTTGAAAGACAAAGTTTGTGCACGTTATGATGATTTGTCAATGCGTGAACTAGCTTTGACGGATTATTTGGGTGTACATTGATTTATTTCTCATACTTTGTATTTTATTGTCTCATGATTTTTCTGAGTTCTATTTCTTTTTTCATGGAAGAAAGTTTTTGAAACATATTTGTTTTATTAATTCGTTTTTTTTTTTTTTTTTTTGTAATGGTTATAAAATTTTGTTAGCTTTGAAATTCGTATGCATGAAATATAAATGCTAATCAGAATGTTATGTTGGAAGTCAAGTTAGAACACGATACAGATAATAACCATATACTATTGTTGACCCTAAAAACTACCAAGCCTACGTGTCGCGCATGCCAAGTAACTAATGAGCTAACTACGTCCTTCAGTTGTGTGTGGGGCGTGCCAAGTCGTCGAACGAGCTCGGCTAGGGAGTAGAATGTGTTGCATGGCGTTGGGCGCACTGCTGACTTCTTAATCTTGCGACTGCGGCCGAGAAAGGAACACGTCTCGGCCTTCAGGTTCTAGAGCCTGAAGATAAGGCTGCAAGTTCTGCGAAGTTCACAAATCGTCGGCGTCGGATTCAGTCACAGGGATTATATTCGAAAAAGTATACGCACGCCGAATCAACACCAAACTATATGGGCACAAGTACTCAAAGCAAATGTGCGTCTTAATCATAAACGTAGTCCGTCCATCAAAATGTCGAACTCTAAATCCCACTTGTGAGTATCCAATCATAAACGACTCGGCGTTCGATGCATCGAGCCCATTAACCCGTAACAACTCACCTCGCCGAGAAGTCAAATGAGATGACCTCTGCCAATAAGGATTCGAAATTCCTTCTCGATCGAGATTTGGATAGATAATCAATCAACCTCAACGCAGTGTTGTTTATCCAAACTGAAGGTACTTCTCGGTCGGTTGATTCTACGGCAACAGTGTTGTTTATCCAAACTAAAGGTGTTCGCCAGTTGCCTTCACAGTGCTGTTTATCTAAACTGAAGATGTGTTGGCGAAAGAGAAAATAAAAATCTCAAGGTTGTTGAGAGGTTTCGCGTAGAGCGAAAGTTTGCGCATGGCAGTTTCTGTGTTTTTGTTGGCGAGAGCTTGTAATGTTGCATGTCACTTGGTATTTATAGAGATCTGCATGCCCAAGTTGCGAAAACCATTTCCAATCGCACTGTGACTCTGAGTCTTCATTGGTTGCTAACCCCACGTCTTATCAATCAAAACCTGTTGTCATTTGCAACCTGATGCAATCTTGTTTTGACTATGTTTATACCATATTTAGGGCCTCGTATTTAGATCTCGTACAAATACTCAGAGGACTTAAATGTAATTATGTAATAAAGGAAGGGGCAAATATGTAATAAGTGAGGCGTCTTTATTCTATAAAAAGACCCATCACCCTCACAATTGGGGGAGGCCATTTCTGGAGCCTTCTCACCCCTCTCACATCTCCTCTCATTACAGAGGTTCTCTCCCTCACCTCTCAGATAAATGTATAATCAGTGTGGACGTAGCCCAAACCTTGGGGTGAACCACGATAGATCTTGTGTTATTTACATTTATGTAGATTCACAGTCGAATTTACGTTGTTCCAAGACCTTCGGTTTTGTGCATCAACAGACTAGATTATCGACATAATTCCAAGAATATCCAGCGATACTTTTTATTCCACCATCATAACCCTTATCCATGCATAATAACCTTCTGCCAAATACCACATGCATGCATGATAATCATGCATCCAACAACCCTAATCAAACCTTCAGCCGTAACCATGCATGGCTGGCCAAATCCAAGCACACGTGGAGGTCATCAATTTCTTTTATGTAGCCAAGCACACGTAGCTGACCAACTCCAATCTGGCATCCTTATCTTCCACTAATATCTATGCCAATATGAATCCATTTACCAACACTGCAATAACGTATTAGGACTCTTGATAGAATACTTTGATGCTCTAATCCTCCACACGTCTAAATTTCAAGAATCCCAAATCAAATTGAACTGTACTGCTTGCTTTCAAGTTGGAGATATAATTCGCATCTCATCTTGTACAAGAAAATATCAAGATATTTCACTATTAAAAGATAATATCATGATTAAAACCACAATATATCCTTATCTTAACTATTCCGTCATTCAACATTTGAGAGCTATGTTCATCAACGGCCTTGATCGCACGAACCGATAGTGTAAAATCAGGTCTAAACAACTATATATACATATATTCTTTGGCTTATTGCAGTCAATCACGAATCCCTTTGTTAAAAAGAATTTTTACAAGATTCAACAAGATAAACACTTCCTATACTGCAACACCTATATTGTACTTTTGATCTTGTAGCACACCGCACACCGTCACTTCCCTTTGATGAACACTATTGATCGCAGATGATCTTCCTCACAAGCAAGGAATATGTGGAGACATAAATTAATCACATTCAAAAGAGCATATCACATGGATTATGAGATCTAAATATCGAAGTTACCCTAGACGACATGAGCAGACTAAGAGCTTAACCATGAAGGGCCAAGAAGACTCCATTCACAACTATTTGGCCCCGAGGCACAAGGCATATGCCAAATTCTCTATCAGACCACGACCCACAAGGAAACATCATTCGTTCTTGGAGGATTGGTCGTTAACCCCTCAACGGTTTGCCCATCAGACACACAAGCAAGCACGAGCAAGCGCGGGAGGCTCATTGGAGTCTTAAATAAGGTCAAACACTTTCCTACGCTGTTCCATGTCTAAGACTAACTCAATGCACAAGCTTAGGATCAAGTCAACGACCTATGAATGCCTATTGCTAAGCATCTCCTAAGGAGACTGCTCCACCCCTCATCCTGCCTAGCCCTAGCCTAGCAGACAGGATACAGAGTTCTTCCACTTTAAATATATATCCAAGTCCTCCAAGAAATTAATAATCGCGAATTCAGTTTAGAACTATCTACTTACTTTCAGTTTCTCTCGAACACTTGAGGAATTAGGGCATCAGATGACTTTTGTCAAACACTCAAGGAATTAGGCATAGATGACTTTTGACAAACACCACACCAACGTTAGTTAATTGATTTTTTGGTGTTATATATTTTGTACGTTTTTTATTTAAATTTAAATTAGAAAATTCACACGCAAAAATTAAGCTTTGTTTTTGTTCATACAGAAACATGCATGATCCCATTTGTGTGAGGTCGTAAACGAGTACGAATGGGATGAGCAATGACACACACATCAAATATGGTAATACTTTAAAAGTCCAACTATAGTGCATTATTTACCAAGTAATCATTTTGTTGTAAATCCAAATGCAAGTTCACTTTGCAATTACATGAATCTAAGATATTGGAAGAAACTAATACTATTGAGCAAATGGAGGAGTACAAAGCCACACTGGATATGGGAGGCAACAGATTTTGGTGTGACCAACCAACCAGCCAATCAATTCATATATAATATGAAGTTGCATGAGGCGCTCAGAAATTTAAGGAGTTCTTTAGAAGAGTTGAAGTTCAAAGTTGGTATGCGTTTGGATGATTTCTCTAGTAGCGAATTGGATGTGAGGAATTACTTAGGTCTAAATTGAGATTAAATGTGATTAAATCATGTTTTTCACATAAACACATTGGATTACCAATTCAAAGCGTGATTAAGAGGTTTTATTGTTAGTATGGTGTTATTATGTAATTCAATGCAAAAATTCGATTACAAACTAAAAGTCCAATGACGGTATATTTACCTGTATAATGTAATTGTGTTGATAATGGATAAGTAACAATCATTTTCTACATCATGTTTTTCCTTTCTATAGAAGCGAGTATTTACGTTATTATTTAATAGCTTCTAAAATTGTATGCGTGAAAATATAGAGATAACAATTTTGGAACGGAATTGTCGAAGAAAAAAGATTGACGGTACTAGCACAGAGATTAGAATTTTTCTTGATTCATGACTTGAAGCAAAAGCAAGTATAATTGTATAGCAAGGAGCTCTTTCTACAAATATTGCTAGCATTGTTCACGTGTCCAACTTCGACTTACGAGATACAAAACTATACACTTGTAAACGTAATGGGAGGAGGAAGAAAGATGGATCACTGTGGACGAAGCTTTCTCATCAACCACTTCTTTCGCAGAGCGGGGTGCAATGCTAAAAACATCCTGGCTCTCTTCTCATCCTCCAAAAGGTCAATGGCATCCAGTAGTAAATCATCATCAATGTCCGGTATAGCCTTTAAGACATCAATAACTTTCTCTATGGATACAGATGCCTCTTTCTTCAGTTTCTTCTTCAACGGTGACTCTGCAACTGCCATATCTCCTAGAGCATTGGCCGCAACTCCATCCGTTCTTTGTGGTTTCTTAGACTGGTGTAAGGTTTGTGTGACATCGTGACTGTGCCTTTCCTTTTGATCTGATAAATTCTTGACATCACTTGAATCCAATGCTTTTTTCTGAACATTTTGTTTGTCAACAATAGGTGTAGCATCTCCGTCAATTTTCTTAGCAAAGGTTCCCTTGTCAAGAGCTTCATTGCAGCTTGATGGAACTTCTTTCAAAAGTCTAGCCTCATTTCCGCATATGACACACAAATCGGAATAATATGGCATAGCTTTATTTCTGTACATGTGGAAACTGGGATGTGCCTGCGTTTATAACAAAGTAAGGTACGAGCAATAGAATGTCTCCATTAAATTCCTGATCAAGAACAATTAAAGTATACCTCTATATATTTGTTCCAAACCGGATCATCAGCTACCACCTTTTGTTGTGTTTCATCCCAAGTAAAACCCTTTTGATCAAGCAGGGCGTTAACGCTACTGTAATGTTTCCTGAGGACATTGTACCGATTTTTCAATACAGCCCTACCATGCTGAAACCCGAATTTCTCATTAAAGCATGTGATCATGGTAATCCATGATTTCTTCTTGAAAGTGCAACCAACCTTATTCCCTTTGCGCACTTCATCCAACATTAGTTCAACGAAAAATTGGTCCATAATCTGTGACCAGTCAATTTTTTTAGGATCAGCATCAGTGGGATCTTGAAATTCCATTCCTCTTGCTACAAAATTTGAGAAAATTACAGACAATATTTCAATGCATTTGCACATATTTATCAAACAGAAAATTAGCTTTGCCAAATTGACATCAATTAATAACGATTTCCCACACAATATGTACCTTCGTTCTCAAAGTCCATATCGTAACATGAAAGACTGTATCTTCCATCAGCAACTGCATGGCCACATATTATGCACAACTCGTCATAATGCGAAATGACTTTTGTTCTGTACGGTTGCATTTCAGGGTGGGCCTGCATAGAACATGTGCAACCTAATATAACTCTCGTGTGTGGACAGTAAAATTTAAAGATTAAACGGTGTACCTTGATATAATTATTCCACACATTATCGTCAGCTGTTATCATCTGTTGCGTTTCATCCCATCTAAAGTTTCCCTGATCAACAAGACTCTTCATCTCGCTGTACTGCTTCCTCAATCTTTTGTATCGATTTTTCAGAATATCTGTATCATACTTAAACCCAAATTCATTATTAAAGAGTACAATCATATCTGCCCAAGCTTGTTTCCTAAATCCATGACCGGTTTTGTTCCCTTTGCTCACTTGTTCTAGCATAAGGTCAATGAAAAAATTGTCTTGTGATGGAGTCCAGTTAGCCCTTACATGGTCACTGGTGGTAGAAGAACCGGCATACATCCTTAACCTGCAACTTAAGAATTTTGTCAATAGAAAGGATAGCTCACGCTAGTCAAATTGCAATAACCATAGATGTAGCTGAGCCCAATACGCATATTGGCTAGATGAAGACCAGATTGTAACCGTAGATAAACGTATGCAAAGTATTGTTCAGTTAAACATATCAAGCTGCATTTGCACTATACTACGTTTGTTTCCCTTTCTCTCTAAAATCAAGTAAAAACGACAAAGAAGTTGTATGCCATAGTTGAAGAAGCGAAAACAATTTTCGTCCCAATTGGGAAGAAAGTGCAAACAACTTAAAGAGTCACATTTTTCTTTCTCACACATTCCATCACCGTCTCGTTCTCTATTCCCCCTTCCATAGCTACAACCTTCACTATAACAGAACTGCTACGACTCCACAGCTGCCACCACCATCATCACTTTACCAACTTAGACCGCTTAGACTAATAATGTCACCGCTACCAGTATTGTATGTAATATGTATTGTCACCTACTAGATACTTGTAACATAGCTTCTTATCCTAATCTTCATGGATACACAATTTTCAATCTAGTTCATTCCGCAACACCTGTGCCGCCCAGCACCACAACTAAATTTTCAAACTAGCTCTACCATTTCCTTATTACATTGCCCCCTTCCCCACCAAGACTGCCTTAACATAACCTTGTTCACCATTTTCTTCTGACACTACCCCTTTTCCTTCCAACTATTCTCATTTTTTTTTTCCTTCTTACATAATTCACTTTCAGCCTTACAACTCCAAAGGAAATAGTAAAAAAAAAAGTCTTAGGCTGCTAAAATGTTTTAACTATGGCAATTTTAAACTTTAATTCCATGGAATACTGAAAGAAAAATGATTTCCGCACACTTCTTTTCTCCTTCTGCACACCACAGTTTATTTATGTCCCTCGATTCTCATTAAGTGTGTGCACGGAAAGAAATGGGGTGTGCGGAGATCACTTCTCTTCCCGAAAAGACTTTAGCGTACCAAATGACACTATAATCCCACTGAAGTTACCAAAATTTCACTCTCTTTTCACATTATTTTTGTATAGTATTCTTCACATAACCCAGCACCAAAACAAAAAAGCACAACCTTTTCTACTAATTCCTACGATCTCTCAACTGCCAAATGCAACAAGAAATTACAGATAGTCGGATCAGTTGAAATTTCTCCGTTTCAATTTCAATGGGATCAAAATTCTGATTTCCCAAACGCGTAATTGCTTCAAAGCTATTCCATGGAAACCTAATTCTCTGTTTGGTTGCTGAGAAAACGTTTCTGGACGATTTCTCCAAATATTCAGAGAAAATAAAATGCAAATATAAATTATCGATTAGATTGACAATATTATATGAATAAATAATATAAATCAGAAATTCGATGAAACAAACAGCGGTGAAGAATAGAAATTGCGAAGTACCCGTTGTGACTGCCGTATGAGCCAACGAGCTGTCGCTGACAAATGGGGAATAAGGTTGTCCTGGGATAAGAGAGAGAATACTTCCGTTTGGCTTTGGATTTGTTTTCTTTGCATTAGTTTTTTAATTCTTTTGCTTTGATATTTCTTCTACTAAAAATGTGGTTTCGTTACCGCAGTTCACTATTCTAGGAGCTCAAAAGGCTTATAAAGTTATTTTAGCAACCCGTTGGCCACAATCATGTGAATCGTCAAGAATTAAATTCAGGACGTGCCGTGTGAAATAAAAGCTTGAAATTCGTCTCCAAACACTTAGGATTTGGACCAATTTGGTGTTGAACTCATGATTCACAAATTTTGAATATAAGACATTTTATTTATAAGTAGAGATGAATATCACTAGATCATAATACTTACTAAGTGAATCCATTATTTATTATTTATATTCTCATTCAAGCAATGTCAGAAGAAGGAAATCGTGAACGGTATAATGCAACATTTCGAATCACATACAGATGTCTATTTCATAATCACAAATTAACCATTGGGTATTTCTTATAACTATACAAGCTAGGTAACAAATATGTCATGAAATACCAAATTTCTCTGTTAAATATTCGCTATCATTTTGGTTTGCTACAACATTTGCCCTCGCCCATTCATCAAATGTCTCCTTAGTCAGCACTCGTATGCTCTCTGTAGAAATTATTAAAGAGACAGGCCATACGGCCCACTTTCAACAACACAAATATTGTCCCCAAGTTGGTAATTTCACATGCACAATCCGTGAGGTGTGGGGGTTTATCACAAAAGGTCTCGATATTAGTTGGAATGAGTTTATGATATTTAAACTCTTATTTTCTCATAGATACGATCGAAGTGGGACAGTTCGGGCTAGTTTGGAATTGCTATACTTTTTAATAAATTGCTTGTGTTGTGCTTTAAGAATAATTAGTTGCAAAATAAAGTAGTTGAGCGTTTTATAAACTATATTTTAAAAGTGTTGCGAGTATGAAAAACAGTGTCTAGAAGGATAAATAATGTCATTGTTTAAAATTAATGAGCTCATTACATAAATTAAAAATATTCTAAAGTCTCAACTCCTTCTATTAAAGCAGCTTTTAAAAGCAACCAACATGCTACTTTTAAAAGCTGCTGTCTAGAGGCCATTGCTTTTAAAATAAGCAATATATTTTATTTTTTATACCAAGTACCTTTTTACTGCTTAACTTTAAAGTGAAGCAATTTTTGGTGAGGAAAAAAAAAAAGCAATACCAAACTGGCTCTTTAACATGCCCCCTCACATGAAACCCATTAATTGGGTCACACGTGGGAATGGGAATCCCTATATCGACAACCACGCAGAGCTCATGTGAAACCCAATTAATGGATTACACGTGGAGCCAAAGGGACTCAATCTACACGAGGGCAGTGGCGGATCCAGGATTTTAAACTCGGGGGGTCCTAATAATAAAGGTCAAAACATTTATAGACAAAAATAACATTGAAATTTTAAATGTAATACACTTCATTCAAAAATCATATGCAAAACAATATTACAAGTTAAAAATACTAATTCAAGCGTCCATTACGAGGTTCCATAAGTTACTAGGGAGTATCTAAGTTATTGATCATCTAATGTGGACCACTAAATTTAAAACACCAGTAGAATAAAACTCCCCCCAAACTCCCACTATCTTTCTAACCAAACACACCATTTTTATCTTTTACTAGTTTCCAAACATCCACCTTCTCTCTCATTAAGAACACATCAGCCATACCTCCACCAACCGCCTCCCTCCTCTTTCTCCCCCAACCAGCTCTACCCCCAAATTTCACCAACCCATGACATATCATATCCATCTTACTAACCTTATGAAGGAAATTTCACCCATAAGAAAAATTACTAAGGTGGTTGAAATAATTTGGGGAAATTTGGGCTTATGTATTGCCATGAATTCCATGACGGAGAAGTCCGACAATGACGATGGAGTGCTGCCATGGCTTCCACGATAAAGATAGGAGGATTAAGGGGCGAGTTCAACAGATGACTGAGAAAGGTTGGAGGAGAAATAGGTTCAACAGATGACTGAGAAAGGTTGGAGGAGAAATGGGTGTCACCGACGGATGAGACCATGGCAGAAGCAAGGAGGAGAGAGGTAGGAAGGGTCCCTATTTCTTTCTTCTTCGTGCGCAATTATCTTCTCCGAGAAGAAGATAGACATTGCAACTTGCAACCTACAACCAACACAAACCTCATGTTCAAATACGAGGGGTCCCCGGGAAATTTCTAACAACGATTAAAGGTCGCCGACGAGTCCTGGGACCTCCCAGGTCCTTATGTAGATCCGCCACTGTACGCGGGGCCAAAGGACCCACCATCATCGCGCGGGGCCAAGGAAACCCACCCATCACGTGGCAGTACGGGCTCGCTCTCTGGCTCTGATACCATGTAGAAATTATCAAAGAGACGGGCCAAACGGCCCACTTTCAACAACACCGATATTGTCCCCAACTTGGTAATTATTACTTGCACAATTCGTCAGGTGTGGGGTTTTATAAAAAAATACATCGGTATTAGTTAGAGTGAGTTTATGATATTTAAACTCTTATTTTCTCATAAATATGGTTGATGTGGAACATTTCAACGCTATCTGCTATATGGTCCCAAAGCTAAATGATGAAACAGAGGCTACCGAGCAGGCGACCACATTAAACTCTGTTTGGTGGGCCGCATTAGATACGATAATCTAATTAAATTCAACATGAATTACGTATATCATTTGATGGAGTTTTAAGTGTTATCGCGGATTAAATACATATCTCGGATCCATGTCTAAAGTAAATGAGATTTTGGAACGCAACCTTTGGTTTCCAAGCCAGCCCAAGCCAATATCAAGCCCGATCCAAGCCAATCCAAGCAAACCCACCAAACATGGGATATGAGTCTGTTTGGATATGAGAATTAAGGATTCATTCGAAATGGAAGATGTGGAAGTATGAGAATTGAATATAAACATTTCATATCGTTTGTTTCAATTAATTTAAAGTTTACTTGAAATCCTTATATTACACTTCATGCATTATTGTTTGTTACATTTGAGGGAATCGCATCGTAGGCCTATTATAATTTTATCTCATTAACCCTCCCTAAACTCTTACATTAAACAGTGAAATTTGAATTTTAAATCCAAAAATACCAATAGGAGCATCCAATGATCCAGACAAAGCCACTACTTAGTGTCACGGTCTAGTGATATTTATCGTCACTTGTAATTAAGATGTTTTAAGATAAATTTATGTCAAAAAGTGAGTTTGATGCATAACTCACTCCCTAACCCTTTAATGGGAAGATAATATTTTTTGTATCCTGTGATTCCATTCACATGCTCAACATCCAAATTTTATGTTCTTATCCAAAACTATTTGTTTCGTGTTTTTTTAATTGTGAGTGAGAAAGAGAAATCGATATATTTTACTCGCCTACTTAAACAACATTCTTTTGTTTTTACGTGGACCAGGAAACATTCCCATACAAGTTGCGAGGACCTTAGATCTGACGTTCAATACTTTATTAGGTATGAACATCATTTACAAATACGTATTTCTTCTTCGTTATAATTAGGTGTTTTTTTTATATATATATTTTATTTTTATAATATCAATATGAGGTTCATTCTTAACACATTCTCTCACGTGTTGAAATTTTCAAGTCAAACGCACGGACAACACAAGCAAAATGATATGTAGCACGTATGACTATTAGACTTCACATGTAAAATAACTTGTTCTAGTATCATGAAAAAGATTAAAGTTCCACCATAATTTAAAATGTTCAAGTACTTAATTTTTTTATAAGAACATCTGAACGAAAAATTGTGACAACCCGTCCCTAAAATTTCGTTTTTTATTTATTTTTAATCGAGGGAATTGACAAAAATGTCTAGAGGCAAGGATTTTAATTTCTAGTGATCATCGTCTAGAAGAACGTATGACTTATTCTTTTGACGTATTTGCGTAGTACTCGATGGTACGAACGCATAGGCGAAAGCTGTTTGCGAGTCCGGATTATAACGGTATAATTACAGACGTTTGAAATTGGTTACTTACATTTCAGATTACTAAATTATTGAACTCCCACCATGGGAAAGAAACCAATCAGCTTCAAGGATAGAAAATAGGAACCAATTGGATGAGAAAAGAATAAAATAATAACCTTTCCACCAATTAGGAGAGGAGAGAGGGAAGCTCTCAGCTTTCCCTTCCTCTTCTTGTAACCATACATATGCAGAAAACCCGGCTTCGCCCGGGGTGGATTTCCGGCGGTCCTCCGCCATTTTTCAAATAGGTTTCACCCATTCATCACCTGTAACCTCTTCCACACCCTTCCCTTTACCATCTCCATCTATATTTAAGGGTTTTTAGGTCCTAACCCATGAGGAACTTCACCGGAGCACCGGAGGTGCTCAACGGCAATTCCTCCTTTTCGGCGAGTTTCACCACCCATTACCACCCTTAATCAACTCCCCTTGGACCCAGGAACAAGACCCAAACAATTGTAGGGACGTTGGAATGCCGAGAAAGGAGAATCGAAGAGCACCCATTCTAGGGTTTCCAGCCGATTTGAATGAAATTTGAGCTCTTCACGGCCAAATTGGTCTTAGTCACAGGTATACAAGTTTTTCCACTCAATGAGATCTTCATTTCTGTGAAGTTTGAGAATTTTTAGAAATAGTTGATTTTTCCGGCGAGTCGGGACGGCCGACCGCCACCCACGGCGGCATATGCGGCGGTGCGTGGCTAGAGGACCGTTGGATTATCACCAAACTTTAATATGTTATAATACATAATATTTGAAGATCATAGGAATTTACAGATCGAGAATCCGATATACGGATCTTCTTGAATTGGAATTGTAAGTTCATAAAATAAAATGTTGACTGCTACTTGGTTTTGCAATTGACGGAGATCCGACCGTTGGATCATAATG